GCAGCCAGCTTGCCTGCAGCATATTGAATTAGCTGTAGGGACAGATATATGTTATTGACATTTCCCCTGAGACAAGAATTTCTAAACAAAATAATTGTCACTTGCTAGCATCTAGCTGTGGCTCAAAATCAGACCTCACTGTGAGCAAACAGGAGAGAGGTCTGGAAGGCTGCAGCAGCTGGACTAGCTCAAACCAGGCACATTTTTGAGTAACTCCCTAGAACTAAGGAGTGTTTACATATTTTGAAAAAGCATGATTGCGAAGAGACACTTGAGGACAAGAAGAATGTGCAGACTTCAAAATCTGTGGCAGAATAAGCTGTAAAATATCCAGATATCATGAATCTCGGAAAAACAGAGAAGAATAAAAACCCCAACCTATATCATTCCTTGAAGCATCCTTCAGTCTTTGAGTGGTAACCACCATTTATATAAAAGCAGTTTTATTTTGTGCTGACTGTGGGTGGTAAATGAGAAGGCTTTTCCTTGTTTCAACTGGTCTTTTGATCTCTTAATAAATTAAATACACCTAAATCAACAATCAGACTGAAAAAAAAAGTAATGCTGAGGAAGAGGCATTATTCTTTCCTTTTGAAAAAAACCCACAACCCAAAATTCTTTCCTGAACTTGCCAGAAAACCTTTGAAAAGATCATAAACCAATTTCTACACAGAAAGTAGGGGAGTCTCTTCTCTGTGGTCCCTTCCTCTCACAATTATTCACTTCTTTGTTCTCTATATATTGTATTTATTTATTTATTTCCCTCGCAATCATCAAATTATTTGGGTTATAAAAGATCTTTAAGATCATCGAGTATAACCATTAACCTAGCATTAAGCCCACTAGTAATCTATGTCCCTAAATGCCACATCTACTCATCTTTTAAACATCTCCAAGGATAGTGACACCCAGATATTAAACTGAACTGGCTCCAACATCGCACCCTGCGAACACCACTTGTGACCAGCTGCCAACCGAATTTAACTCCATTCCTACCTTGTCCCCCAAAGGAGCTGTATCTGAGGTGTGAAGCACCTGGCTTTTACCTTGCAGTTTGACACAAAGATGGTTTAGGATTTCTGGCGGAGGCACAGAGACAGGCAAGGAAAATGAGGAACTGGACAGACTCTTTGAGGGGTGACAAGAATTTTCAGCATGAGGTTGAGCACACAAGGACTAGAGAAGGGAGAAGCAGATCCACAACTGTGTAAAGCCTAAGCAGTTAAGAGGAGAAAGGCTTTAGACCTGCATCTGCTTCTGCTGGGACCAGCTCATCTGCAGCAGGCCTGTCCACCCAGACACACCTGGCCTGAAGGGGCACAAAAAGGCACAAAGCAGAATGGGAGTTTTGGCCCATGCAATGCAGGGAAGTGCACTTCTGGCTCTGAGCATTGTGATCTCAAACGTGCTGGCTCTCTGCTCTCAGAGCTCCTGCTCTGTGTGCTGCCTACTGCGTGCTGAGGCTGCGGTTGTGTCGCTGCACGTGTTGTGTATTTAATGTTAACAGATTTGCCATATAAACAGTCTGACTTTCCCAGCAAATGGTGATCCAGGGCTTAAACAGAAAATCCCAGAGGCACTGCAGTGCATTTTCATGAGGCATGATTTATTTAGCAATTGTGTATTTTGGCTTTCTGATCATTATGTCCAGCACTCAAGCTCTATGGGGCTGCTTTGCATTGCACATGACATGACATAGAAAGCCCAGCACCAGGGCATTAGTCATGAATCACCAGGATCCGGGAGATGAAAAAAATTGAACTCTCCTCTTTTTTTCATTTTTGTACTTAATAATGCCCCAAGTCATTAGGAACACCAATTTTATTTTCTTTCATTTTGCTGAAGCAGACACTTGGCTTCTATCAGTGCGTAAGTGATTGGCTTCTCTAACAAAAAGAAGGGGGTTAATGAACCCTTTACGTAACTCTTGTCTTCAAAATGTGAAATAGGAGTTAGCATGTAAATAGTCTTAAATGAGCTATACTTTAGCAGCACTGAAATAACGCTTCTTATTTCATTTCTGCCACCTTCCTATGGCTTTGCAGATCTGTGTGTGAACATATTCACTTCTATATATAAGCCAACCAGCTTTGGTTTAGACAATGAATGACCTCCTATGGTTAAAACTGGGGACACATTGTAGGACAAACGTGTCTATGCATAACAGAAAAGGAAAGTAAGGTAAAGGGTGAAAGGAAAAGGAAGAAAACTGAAGGAGAAAGGAAAGAAGAGGGGGAGGGAAAAGAAGCAGCAGGTTTGTTTTCTCTGTGCAGGAAAAATTTTCTATATAGCAACGAGAGGAGACCTGAGGTTAATTGGTGTAAATATGGGCTTGAAAGGAAGGTAAGAATCAGGAACAGAATGGACGATTAAGTGATTTACTGGAACTAACCTGTCCCTTCTTTGTCCCTGTGTTTCATTCCTCTGCTGTCTCCTGAAAGAGACCAGCCTGTGTCTCAGTCATGTTTTTTGAATAACTCCCCTCCACATCCAAAATACCAGCTCTCCTGACAAAGGGTATTTCTTTCACACTCCATATTACACATGCCAGATACTTTTGTACTAGATATAACCTCTAAACATTTACAGTAAGTGCACTTAATAATAAAATTTTTTGCCAAGCCTTATTGGCTCTCCCTATACTTTTGAGTTACAAACACATCTTTATTTAAACAGGAAAACAAGTGAACAGATTCCTGAGTCTCCCACATACACTTCTGGTTATCAGAAGTTTATCACAGGCAAATGGGAACATTTCATGGAGGCTCTTGTTAAAATGTTGGCAGCTATCAGTGGGTTGGATTTCCATGTATTGCAGGAGACAGCAGCATAGTTTAATATCGATGTATTCTGTGTTTTTTTGTTGTAGTTTTAAAAATTTTTTTGTTTTGTGGGGTTTTTGTTTGTTGACACTTTTATTTTATTTTGGTTTGATTTGTTTTTAGTATCAGCCTCCTTTTTTTCTCCTTGATAAACTTAAAAAACAGAAGCTGGGTAAACAGCTTCTTGGAAAATCCTCTAAGACAGGAAAATGGGAGGAAAGACATGGACACTTTTTCTTGAGGCACTAGACAGGTGTGGGAGTAAATACTCTTTATGCTAAATGTCTTTTTGAAGTGGCCTTTCCAATCAAATGGTAAAACCCAGGCAATTCGTCTGAACAAACGAGATTGCAGTTGCAAATCCCTTCCATAGAGACATCAGTGTATAGCACAGACCAATGGCTAACAGTAAGAACTGTTTGGAAAGGACATGACAGTACACTTGCAACAACAAGAAAGCCTTAAAGAGGACCAGAAAAAGGAAAAGCCTGTATTTAGTTTATGTTACTTCTGTACCAAGAGGAAAAAAAGTCAGTTCACTAAGGCTGACCTCTGGCACCTCCATCCAGTCCTGTGGCCAGAAGGGACCCAAAAGAATGACAGATACAACAGGGTCACGCCTCTGCATGGGATGGGGACGATACCCAAGAGAAATGCCTTTGCCTGCTCTACTTTGCATCACCTTAATTCAAACTGATTGAAAGACAGACCACAGGTGTTTGTATTCAAAGCCTCTCCATCTGAGGGTGTCCTTTTTAATCCCACCTGGGAAAAACAATCTGCTGTGTGGGCTTTTATTTATTTCACAGAAAAAGCTGTGTGGTTTTAGTCTGTGGACACATTGCAGTGAGTAAAGACAGATCTGGCTGTGGCAGTGTCACAGACAGAAACCCCAATTGGCTTTACAGTAGTTAAGTATGGTATCTGGTAGCATACTTCTGGGGAAACACAGATGTTCAGAAAAAGCTATAAAACCTGCTTTAGAAGTAGAGCCCACTTAAGTTTCCCACAAAAAATTGCTCCTAGGATCCAGACTGGCCATGGCCAAACCCCTGACCATCACAGAGGTACAAACCAAAAGCCATACTACATGGAGTGACCCAGAAAGTTTCATTTCAGTGAAATCCCATACTGGGTGAAATTGATGATGATATGGAAAAGTTACTCAGAAGGGGAAGTAGAACCAAGACATTGGACATAAAAACACGTCCTTTCCTGTTTGACATCAAAGTTAACCAGACTTAATTTGCACCATGAAGATAGCATAGTTCCTTTTCACCAAGTAACCTACTACGAGCCTTTGTTGCCAGCTTGTTTAAACAGTGCCACAGCTGTGACTATTTGGGAAGGACAGAGTTAAGGAAACAATGCTGGATCTTGTGGCAACTATTCAAAAAAACCCTGCTACTGGTGCACTATGGACAGACAGGTGTGCTTAGATTTAGGAATCACTGAAAAAGCCTTTATTTGCTCTGCCCTTCCTCCTATCTGCTGAGCTTTCAGTATCTCATTTAGGAGCCAGCCTGAACCTACCGGGATATCTCAGAACACACAGAACAAGAAAGGGGTTGACAAGAAAATCAATGTGTTGAACATACATAGAATATACTTCCAAATTTTGACATAAAAGCTGTGCTTTTTTTGACCAATGAGTCACCCAGACTCTCTCTATATAGCAACTGGGAATTAAAATTCTACTTAATAATCCCCCATTCAAAGGCCATCTTTTCAATTAGTTTTCAGACTTGTGCTGCCTCTAAAAAAACATGAAGTAGGAAAACACATTTTCCTTGACCTGCAAATGATTGCATCAACCATATTCTTTTTAAAACACAGCTCCCCATCACTACAGTTGCTGACACAAACACCATTACATTTGAACTTCAAGAGGATTTACTTAGACCAGAGGCAGCCAGCAACAGAAGAATTTTAATGACTGTGGGAGGATCGCTGGTATTTTAAGAAGTCTTCTAAAACCTTTTGAAGAATTTGAGATAAGTAAAAATAAGAGTTTTCCCTAAGTATTTTGTACCATGTTTTCACACAACAGAGGTGAGTTCTATAACTGCAAAATGAAGCTGGAAAGTCTGAACAGAGAAGTAAAACTTAGAAAAATTCTGAGATGAAAACAAATGGCATGGGAACCATTCTAAAGAAGACAGCAAATGAATCCTTCTATTGCAGCTCTGGTTTTTATTCTCTTTGCTCACTGCAGCTTTAAGTTCACTAGCTTGCAAAGAACCACTCAATTCATAGATCAGATTTCCCAAGGATATATAGACAACATGTTAACAACACAAAGCACTAACCAAATTTTTAAACAGCAGCCAAATGCTCAGTGAGTTCCTCTAATGCAATTGTACAATGTTTGCCTCCTGTAGCCTTTGATCCAAAGCATTGCACTTCATTGTTTAGAAGAAAACCACCTGCTGCCAGAAGTGCTCCTGGATTAATATACCTGACAATTGAAATTTAGCTGCTGCTAAAGGTTCAAAGGGTCCAGCTTTTTGAATTGTTCAGTGCCTCCTTGGAGAGCGGCTGATCAATGTACCTGGACAGCAACTGCTGTTGCCACGACAATGACAACAGAAAAGCCTCCTTGGGCATCCATCCTCACAAGGGGCCTCTGCACCCACCCACATATCTTGAACAATTGCACTCCTGGTTTGAAATTATTCACCCATGGCTTCTCAAAACCCACTACACTTCGAGCAGGTAAACTAGGGTGAATGATTTGCTGCTATTTTGTAACACCATTCTCCTCAGCAGTATAAAGGATACTTGGAAAGAGCAACAATGCCCACCAAAAAAACCCCCCTAAAATAAAGTGTCTATGATGTTCTATTTTTTTGTGGGGATGTTAGAGACAGGAAAAAGTGCTCTCACTGGATCCAGCGAAGCAAGGAAGTCCAAGCATTCTTGAGAAAAAGAAATTGTTTTTCAGTCAGATGTCCCCTGTCTTTGAAGGCAGTCTTACCCTCTTCTTTCTTCTGCTTACCTGCACTAGTTCAACCATCAAGCAGGCACTAAGAAAAAATGATGAATAGATTAGCAAGCAGATGCTTTTTAAAGAAGAAATTCATACAGACTGTTCTTCACTTTCTCAGTATGGTTATGTGAATAAAACCAAATCAACCTGCACATTCACTTGCTCTCAAATACAGTCAGAAAAATAAGAGCTGTTTTGTCGAAAGCAAGTGTTTATATTCAAAACCTTGGTCAACTGGCAGATAATGTTATGTTTATCCTTTCTGCCTACTCCACCTTGCACAGTATCCACACAAAATTAGCTTGACAGTTCAGGTGAATTTCAGTTTTACTGAAAGCAGTGTCAAAACTCTCACTTTATTCAGTGGGGGCAAGTTTTGTTCACTTGTTTCTCTTCCCTCCCTCAGCAAGAAACTGCCTGTTCCAAGCAATTTTACTTGTCCTCAAAGCAAGAGATGCTAAAAACACTGGATTTTCCTGGGCTGACCCTCTCCCCTCCATTACTTCCCTGCCCAAATGGGAGAACATAGTTCCCTAGGTTACATTTCAGTAGGGTACACTGAAGGATATACATCTCTGATTTTGCTTTGTGGGTTTTTTGGGAGTGTTTATTTTTTTGTTTGGGTGTTGGGGTTTTTTTGGTATAGAGGCAAATGATGATGAGAAAAATGGCCCCAGGAATTTACTCTTGATATATTTTACATTGTTAGAAGATCATACAGTTTCACAGAGAAAGGTCCCAAGTTTTTTATCAGCAAGATCCCACCTTTGCTTACACTTAGCCCTGTTAAGGAGTTTTTTTAATGTCAGTGATTGTTGGCAACCAATATTCACGAGTGGCATTTCTCTTCAAAACAGTCTGGTATGAAAAAGTCCACCTGTTAGCTTAACTATTTATAACAATGTGCCTGTGTGCCTATTATCTGAAGCATGGTCCAGTCATTTGTAATAGATGACTATGTTGCAAAGTCTTGACTTCACAAAATAAAATTGTACCTCGGTTCTTAGTAGCTCACTGTTTTTGAAGTGAAGGGTATAACAATTTAAAAGATACCCTACAAATATTTCTCAGTGTAAAAATGCAAAAGGTGTTTTGTTTTCAATTATAAGAAAAGTTCCATAAAAACTTACACTTTTTTCACATTAAAAATGCCTATGTTTTTTGCCATAAACAAGAAAAACATTCCAATGCCATAAATACATTTTTTTTAATCTACCAACCTGATTGTAGCCCTTTAAGAGCCCTAGGGATGTGTTCTACCTTAAGAACTTGTCCATAAAAAACTTGGTACCCCTCACATGTTACACATTTCATACTGCACTTCAAAGAAGAACCTTATATACATTGTGACTAAAGTACTGTTTATTTCATAATCTAAACAAACATTGGAATACAGTCTATGCTTTTCTACTTTCCTGCAGACTTTACAAAGAGCTTTTTTTTTCATAATTAAAACAATCTGCATACACACAGAACATGCATTCTCTAACGCCAGTAATGAAGGTAAGAAGAGTCAGTTTCCATCATCTTCCTGTTGCCTGTGTTAGAAAAAAATACTTTTGTTTTTACTGTAGTTATGGCAGTGTGGCTAAGTATACAAAGACTAGAGCACAGTTTTACTCCCTGCACAGAAAACGTTCATCACAAGCATGCTGATGGTGATACATATTACATGTCTATTAAATGATAGGCATACTTTTATCCCCTTTACTCCCTTTTTAAAAATACTAAGTGGCTACGTGTAAATGCAGTGAAGCAGTTATAAGCTTAATTAATCAGAGTTGATTCAGACTGGCACCAAGATGCAGCGAAGTCCAACAAAGTCTCAGTGAAGCTTTCCACGGGCTACCGATGACCTCCGCCTCAAGGCATCTACCTTCTACCTTTTTAAAGTAGAAATCAAAGGCCTTGCATCCTGGCCAGTCCTGTGGATGGGGTGGTCTGCACTGGTGTGCCAGGCTCCCTGGAAAAGATGCACTTGTAGTCCATTAGTGTTTAAGAAAACGTTGTGAGTGGGTTACCTTCCCTGGGCCCGTGCACCCACCCCGCCCTGTGGCGTAGCCTGCTGCTCTTTGTTGGTCACGTGGCTGGCTGTGGTTTTACACCACAGAGTGGTCGTTGCTGTGGACACCAGCCAAGATAGTGTGGTTGAGCGAGGATGCCGACCGATCTGAGCCTTCGGTGGGGCCATTGGCGCTCTCACTCCGCTGGCAGCAGAGGATCTGCTTGAAGGTTGCGCTCATTTCCTTGTCCCGGTAGGAATAGATGATGGGGTTCATCGCAGAGTTGAACTCTGCCAGGAGCAGGAAGAATTTTTCATAGGCCAGGACGTTGCACTGGGGACAGCAAACATCAAGGAGCAGCAAGACTAATCCTGGGGTCCAGCAGATTATGAAAGCACCTAGGAAGAGAAAGAGTGGACAAAACACAACAAATTCCACAAATATACTAATGCATCATTACTCATCAAAATACCACAAGAAGCACCCAGCTGGAAGTGGCAATGGTTAATTTTCTCTTTCAAGAGCATCGTTCCCACACTCTTTCTTCACCGACCTGATGAGCAGGACGCCTTTCAAAGGCCTGTAAATGGTTATGGGAACACATCAAAAGAGCAAGGCAAACCCCCATGCCCCACCCCTGCCCTCCTCGCCATCTGAAACTCTTCCTGGCAAATACATTTGCATTTAAATTTGATAATGAGGAACATTTTTTCCCTTCAGCTAGAGACCTCTGACTAATCAATCTCTTGATCAGGAGAAACAATGCTGCAATTTACTTCTCAAACTAATAACAACAAAGAAAACCTTTCTGTAAGTGCTGTGACTGAAGCATCATTAATAGAAAAAGAGTGCAGGCAGCAATTCTCAAGAAAAAGAAAGCCTGGGTCTTGTTAATCCATTTCAGCCTCATTATGTAATGGAAAGTCCTAAACACACATCCTTCTTGCACTGAAATACAGTCCTTCAACAGATCTTTTCTTAGGGTTCTATTCAATCGAAATTCAGAGGCTCCTCAGGCTTCAGTAGTGTCAAAGCCAAAGAGCTCTTACCCCTCCTCCTTTCTCTGTTTTGCAAAGCTGAGGAGAACAAAGCCCAGAATAAAATTCAGAGTTCAAGGCAGAAATGAAATCTAATGCCTGGTACTTTATTGGGAATACTAAATTAAAGGAAGGTGCTCACTCCTTCCAAGGTTAGAGGAGTTTTATGTATAAGCTCTGCTGGGGAAGTCCTTACACACCAATCATGCCAGAATAAAGATGGGGCTCCTGAGATTTTCCTGGATGAGATGCTTGACTTAAGTGGAAACCAGTCTTACCATCAGTGAGCAGGATCAGTGCAGGCAGCAGCAATAAGGGCTTCCCAGCTCTACCCACTGGGCACTGTTTTCAAACTGGTTCTCCAGTCATTCTGGTATTTATTTGTTAACATACTGCTCCTGTTTTTAATTCGGTGATGTTCTCTGCAGGTCTAGCATGCCTGTCAAGAAGGTGCCAGCTATTTCCAGTTAAGGCAGTGATGACTGTAAGCTATGCAGACACCTTTATGTTTGGATAACAAATGTACATAGATCAAATAGAAGAATGTTTTATGAAGGGCTTTGCAAACATGAAGGGTGTGCCAGGTGACAGACATTGGCTTTTCCATACCAAAAAGCATCCCTAAACTGAGCTTGCTTGCAGCTATTGGCACCACAGTGCCACTCTATGCCTATCACTTTGCTGACCAACAAAGCACGCCAAGGAAAAGAAGCTGGGAGGTGAACTACCAGCTTCCAGTGCAAAGCACTGAATCCTTTGATCAAGTGACTTTGTTAGGGTCTGGCAGCACTTTTACAGCATGGGGAGGATGAAACTCTCCCATGCCGAGGTACCAATAAACACATGAATCCACTTCATAGCTTTTGTCGGTAGCTCTTTTGGACTCCAGCAGTCCTAGAAAAGAGTACCCAAAACCCATGCAAAGGACTACAGTCTTTTGTCCCTTCTTTGTACCCGTTCCCATAAGAGTAGAAAACTGCATCTCCTTATTTGCAGGATTGTCCATGCTGATAATGAGTCCACCCTCTGCATGGAGAAGCTCTGTTGAGCTGGTTTCTGCAGAAATCAAGCCAATCATTCAAATTCAACTACTCACAGCTGAAACTGTACATGTTGTATTTGGCCTCCTAGCTAGTGAGGCAGCGGTGGACTTTGTTCTAGCTTGAGCATGTATTTTCTTCATTATAGGCTGCCTTGGGAAAACAACATCAGAGACGGGAACACTGCAAGTCATGCGATCTACATTCAAGGAAAAAAGACAATGACAGCATCCTCACCAGGCCTGCAGCAGAAAAGTCCAATGTGGGAACAATGGAGCTGACAGGAAAGCTCTCCTAGCGTTGTTCAAAGTTGCAATTGAAAGCTTCCAATTTTCCAACTTCTTTTTTTTAAAATCTGTTGTTGAGAAACAACAGAACATTCTGTTGACATAATTTCTGATGTATTAAAAACAGCAACAAGAAGCTGTATGGTTGAGGCAGGTAGGAATTTGCTCCTGAGAAAGCACCAAAGTTATGAAGAAAAGTCCACATGCAACCCACTGCACTGAACACTGGTCTCAAGTGGAGTTTCTGAGCCTCTCCGGGGTCCTTGGTATCTCAGATAGGTCTGATAACCTCTGTGCTGAGGCTTGATTGGCTGCACTCAAGAAAAAGTGGATTGTAGTTGAGCAAGCAACTAAATGTGTAGCTCATGCTACACTGAACAATGATAAAAACAAAGGGTTGCCTTCCCAGCCAGCTCTGGAAGGAAGTCACTGTTGTGCAAGTTGTCATCCTGCTGCTCATGCCTGGCCTGGAGCTGGGTCAAGAAGGCCATGCTGTCCAGCTCCAGACCTGCTTGGGCAATGTGGGCTTTTCCGCTGCCCTGGCCCCCAGCCTCAGACCAGGCTGACTTTCCAACTGCTTTCCTCCATGAGGCAGCAGTGGCTGGTAGGGGAGCACACAATACCCAGGACCACAGCTTTGTGCAAGCAAGGCTTCTTTCAAGCTCCTGAACAGACTGCTCACTTGTGACTGGGAAGTAAAAGCCATTGAAGTCAGCCCCATTCAGTCTAGTGAGTTTTGTATTACTTTAGCCCCCGGGATTTTCCTAGCAAAACTTCCCATCATGCTAATGGCTCCAACAGTTTATTAAGTGCTTGCAAATGGTGACACAAAAATGCCTCAGGTTTGCTCACTTGTTATTTAACTGTTAATACCCTAGAAAATACTGGAAAGTGTCACTCATTATAAGGGTATGTTTGAGTCAGGTACAGTGCAAGGAACACAATAATGCTAGGCTCTTATTACTTCAGATTTAGGAAAGTTCATCTGTTAACCTTGGAAGGAAAACAAAACTTGAATTTTTTTTTTGTTTTTACTTCTTACTTGGAATATTTGTCAAAGTAAGCTAAAAGTGAGGTTAAATTCTTCTCCTCCCAAAAATGTGTTGTGCATTGATTTCACCAAGAATGAAGATCTAAAAATATCACATCTAATAAAACAGTGATATCCAAAAGCTTCCTGCTACCATACTCTGGAAAGCCTTAAGCGTACACCAAAATCTTGTTGTATTTTTCTGCTCAGGAACAGAAGTGAGAGCAGCCCAAAGAACAGCGTTAGTAATTTTCAGGTGCATCTTAACTTTTTACAAACTCAGTTGAACCCAAGTTACAATTACATACAAAGTAGATCTGTTGTAGTCAGTGAATTGAATCTTTGTGGATATGCCACTGTCGTACCATGGCACTAGGAGAGCTCAACATGCATGAATAAAAATGCAGATTGTATCTCCTTGGGTGGCTGAAAAACACTGTTGCCTGGAGAGAGAACACTTTGGGATGTCATCTCCAACTCCAGCAGTCCTAAGGAGGCACTGGCACTGCATGAAGCTGAAGAAGCTGTTCACTTGCAGCTGCATCCTATGGTGCATGTCCAAGGTCTGCCCTGAGGATCTGGGTGAGGAAGAAATGCCCATCAGGCTGAGACTCAATGGCTAGCCATTAGGCAGGAAAGCTTGAGGGAACCAGAGGAATAGCACTTAAAAAATTTAAGGACACAAGATGAAAAGGGTCCCTTTAGGCTGAGAACCATGTTTTTCAGCAGGAAATATGAGTTACAACAAAGCAGTTATCACACTAATATAATTTTCTGCTGCTGCGTTATACTTCTCACTCAGGACTGAAACTCCAACTCCTTGTGCATTATCTGTCTAGCAGAGCTGTGGCAGAAGAACACTGGGGGCTTTTCAATGAGCATGATATGACTACAACACATCTGTCTTGAACCCATATCTGGTGCACCAGCGCAGAGTCTTTCCATGGTAGCTGGATGCTTAGAAACCCCTGGGTAAGAGTGACGTGGCCTGACAGCAAGATTTGATTGCAAGAGAGTAAAAACTGTTGTAGGCAGTAGGCATATGAAACCAACCATGATAAATCACACAAAAATGAGTGAGTAGAAGAACAAAAGAGAAAACAATTCCAAAAAACAGCAGCAGAAAAGAAATAAGCTACATGAGAATAAACACTGATGGACCAGTCACTCATTACTAGGATACCAGACTGGATGGCTACTCACGAAACCTCTTATGTTAGCAGGTGAAGTGTTTCCTAAGCAGCACATTTTTTCTTTTTTTTTCTTTTTTTGTCTTTTGCCTTGGGCAACCTAAGTCTGTGTTTATTCCATGAACATCTATTTTCCTCTAACTCAAAACAGCAAAATAAAAGAAGCACTTCTGCTTCTGCCAAGTCACACACTGCTGTCCCTTGGAGGATCTGGAAGGATTTGGCTCTTTGTCAGTACACACCTATTCTGAATCACCCTTTTTCTCCTGCTTAACCATATCACGTCCCTTTCATGTGCCCTGTTCTATCTATCTTGTGTGTTAACCCTGACAGTGATTTCTGGCATGAGCTCACACTCCCCCTGCAAATTCCTCAGTCTGCATGGAGGGGAAAAATATTGAAAGGGCCTCTTTTAGGGAGTGAGAGGAGAAAAGGGAAAAAAAAAATCTCTCTTGTGTTTGCAGTTTTGTTAAGATTACAGAAACAGGATAAGGCACTATCATATCAAAGACAGAAAAGATCCATTCTAGCTGAACTGCAGGATCATGTATAATCTGCTTCTTTTGCCCACCTGCTCTTGTCCACCCGTTATCCTTTCCAAATCCCCTCCTGCCCTCAGAATGGCACTTGTGGCAGGCAGCTGCACCACCACTTCCTCTGGCACAATGGTGATGGAGAGAGGAAAGGACACTGAGCATCACTGTTATCACTACTATCAAAAGGGAGAAGGGTTTTTCTTTATGCTGAAAGCAATGCTATGGGGGGATGATTTGTTTTATTTAAAAAAACTATAGCCAAAAAGGGCTACAGAAAT